GTAGTTTTGCACTTTACAAGATGATAATGGATGGACTATTTGATTATTTTTATGCTTTTATCAGCTCTCATTCTGATGGTATTCATTTACTGCAGACAATCCATTGGTGAGCAAGTGATGTAATGCTAAATTTCTTTTAATCTTCAGTTATGTAAAGCAGGATTTTGGACCAATAGGATTTCAAAGTGGGTGGGGCTAACCAGTGTGATTCCACAGAAGTAGTAAACCAGTAACTGACAAATTGTCATGTTGTTTGTTTCAAAAACTCAATTTACATGGAAGACAGAGTTTTTATTGCCTAATCCCTTTACGTATGATGTGGTGCTAGTCTTTCATTCACAGACTATCAGAACAGAAAATATCTGTTCTGTTATTTTTTTTCCTCTCCTTTGTTCTGGTAGAAGGAACATATAAGCTTTAACTTTTTACTGACCCTTTGCTCTCAATAAAGGCAGAAAATCTCTTTTCTATGAGCAAGTAAAGCTAGTTTTTCCATAGTTAGGGTGTTCTGCTTTCACTGGCCGTTTCTCACTTAAGACCACACAGTATCACCTGGAACCTGGGGAATAGGCTGTATGTGAACCCTCTCCTGTTGCCTCTTAGCATAATGCAGCATTGGCTTTAAGCCGTTCCTCTGGAGGCTATTGTGTGAATCTGGGCTCAGCTTAGAGGAATGGCTCGGATGGCTTTATTTCCACAGTTGTGCCTGTTTTTTTTTTTGGCCAATATCTGATATATTTTATTTATCCCTCGCTGGATATAGTGAAGAAGGCTTAGTTGGGATTAACATGGGAATTGGATGAACGTCCATACACCAGTGGGCGGGCGAGCAAGATATGACTATGTACTGTGTGACAGGCTTAGGGCCCTATGAAATCAGTTTTATTTTTCCGTTTTCCGTTTTAATTTTTCTAGACTCTATTTTAAGGGTTAAATTAAATTTTACTAATTAAGTCTAATTAATTGTAATCATGAAACTTACAATATTAAACAGCAATTTAACAAAAATTTAATTTTTAAGGCCCTATAAAGTTTTTTTTTTCTCAAATTCAGTTTTATATTTTACAAAATTCTGTTTTTTAAATTAATTTTCTGGATTCCATTTTAATAGTTTCATTAAATATTGATAATCAAAAGCATATCTAATTAATTGATTTTTAGAAAAAAAATACTAATTTATTTTCTAATTTTCTGGTAAATATTCCTTTAAATATAATGTTTTAATAATAATTTTATTGTTAGTAGTAGTACTATCATTACATTAAGTAATATTTCTGTCAAGGTTTCTTCAAGTTAAACCAAACTTTTATTTGGACTGATGGCTGTGAAAACATTTAAGTTTCTGTTTGTATATGACAATAGTTTTTCTCAAAAGATATGGTAAAATGCTCATGAAGTGACTCAGAGCAGTTCTAGAGATCATGTTCATGTGTTCATATACTTACATATTGAGGTGGCAGAGGCTGAAAATACCGCAAGCGTCACGCAATTTAGTATGTATGTAGTAAACGAAACCGCACGTCTATTCCATTCATTCACACAGAGACACACAGAACATGCAGGATTCATATTTAAATGGTATTTTTTTCTATCAAAACTGAATAAATAATAAACTTTAAATGCGTTCAGCATTCTGCAACAAATATTTTCCGGAAATTCTTGACAATTTAAGTCATAAAGTGTGCAGGATACATTAAAATTCATCACAAGTTTCGGCAGGTACGTAAAATGATACTTAAGCCCCAAGTATACTTCGTTTTTGTGCGCTTACACTAGCGTATGCATATAGTCGAATGCGTAGCCTTTCAAAGTATACTCCTTTTGATGTTATGAGCGAACGCGGGCGGTCAACACATGCACTCTATAAAGCTTCATCCATGTCCAATGTCTAACCATTGCTGCGCTGTTTCATACCCTCTCGCTCACACTTTCGTACAAAGTATATGCACGGTTACAAAAATCGGGTGGTGCGCATACAGTAAGCACGTACTGTTCTGATGACGGAATTCGCGTCATGCACACTGTACGCTGTCCCTCGTGTACGCGTAAAAAGTGAAGTATACTTTGAACTTAAGTTGGGCAGTCGTGCCGGTGTCCTCCCGAACTCAACAGCGCCCCACAAATTTTGCAATGTAAATATGTGGTGAAAAATGGAACTGCAGCACGTTCTAATTGAGAGCTATTTGGGCAGTTTTGAGACTGCCCTACTTATTTTCACATTACCTTATCTTGCTCCAGACCAGGGCGATATCAGTCAGCTCTAGCTATATGTGTCTGCATCAGGTCAGAAACTAACTGGCATGTCTGTTTTTCCTACGTGGAGTAGTGTTTTAAATTAATGAAAGTGTTTGTTTTGAGATGAGACATGATAGTCGTTTCCTCACTTAAATTTCTCTACAACTTGTAACATTCTAAATCAACATTCTGAGACAATATTAAGCATTCCACGTGTATGTGTACTTTCAATCTGTCCTGTCAATCAACATTAGCCCACATGCTGAATAACGCAAGGACATTAGATCTCTGCCCAAAGTGTGTGTGCATGTATTCAGCGATTGGACTATAAAGATTATAAATTTTTTGAGTTTATTATAAACTAGCGTTACGAACCACAATCTAAATTTACGGTCAGGGGCCGCTACTGCCTACTTACTACATGGTCAGAACTGTTCAGTGTTCTCACCGTTTCTTTTCCACTGTATCTGTACCACCACACTTGAATCATAATTCTGAATCGCAGCAGAAGTTATATTTTTTGTTTATTTAAAGTGAATCAAATTGACAGCTTGCAAATCAGAATCAAATTGATACCTAGCCCTAATTTTAAGACTTTCTTTGCGCCATGATTTGTGGCAGACGTTAGTGCAGAGAGCTCATCTCTGTCTGAGACTGAAGCAAAAGTCTTGTTATGCAGTAGCTGTTTCATGAATTAGTATTAGTTTTGCTAGCTGGTCCTAATTATTAAACTGTATGCATTTTTTAGGATCTCTCGAACTCCTTTATTTCCTTCAGAGTCAACTTGAACCCCTTTGGCAAATCAGTTGTTGGATTGTACTGTTGCTGCTGTCTTCAATAAAATTCTCATCCATATAGCTTATGTGGTTTCAACACAGGAGGAACTTCATTATTCATATGCTAAGGTTATTGGATAGGGTGTAGGAGAACTTGTGCCAGACGTCAATTGACTAATGTGTTAGAGCCTTTGCTTTTTTAATGGAAACTTCACTGTAGCACTTTGCTGTAAAGAAAAACGCATAGATGGGGTTCCAATAAAGGTGTCTTGTGTCAGTTTGGGGGGATCTAGGATGCATTCAAGTGACCTACATAGTTTAACTTGATACACAGCAGTCCCTTCTCAACTGGCAGTAATTGAGAGCTCCCCCTTTCACCTTGCAACATACAGTAGGTAACTAAAACTAAATGCAAAGATGCGTTTTGTCCCCCTGTGCTCCCATCATTCTTTCAAGCAGACTGCTATAGGACCATTGAGATGCAAATGGCCATCCTTAATGAGTTGCAGATCTTTGCCATCATTTTCTATACACCTTTATCGATTCAATGTACATTGACACCACGTCACAGTATGTGCTCTCAGAGATATACAGTAACACTTGATATTCAGTGACAAGATCAAAAAGTGAAAGTTCATAAGATATTGTTTCGGCTCGGCTCTTCAGTTTCAGCGTCGCTCTTTGTCGTACGGGTGGTCTAGCTTAATGTTATTCGTCTCTCATCCGTGCATGTGGCGTCTGTCATCCAGCCTCTGTCTTAATCGGTCACCAGGGATGACCTTTTCTTCCTCGCCAGACGAGAACATCAGCAGGTTTAAATGCCATCAGATTTGGTCTCCTGAAATTGTAACCTTTCTTAATGGGAACCGATGAAATCCGCTGGAAATGTACAAGGGACAAATATGTCTTTTCACATAAATTTAGCATGTCAGAATTGCACAGGCTCATTGGAAGACACATTGATTTAAACCATTTGATATAATAATTAGAATAATAGTAATTGTATTTGAATTTTAATTAAACCCACATTTACTACTACTTAAAGCACTAATAATTCAATAACAATAATACATTTGAATAAAAAACATTATTTTTAAGAGATTATCACAGATTACAAAACTTAATAATATTTATAAAAAAAAATTTTAATTGTAAAGTTGTATGCATTCATTTGATTACCATCTTTTTTGAGAATAGAAAATCCATTTAAAAATTCTAAAAAAAAAAAAAAACACATTTCATAACATTTTAACATGCGGATAGATTATGTAATTGTTAACGTTTTATGAATTCAATTGATTATGCGTCCGTAAACTGTTAAAATGGAATCGAAAACAGAACAAAAAAATGAATGCGTGACAAAACAGAATTTGACAGGGAAAAAAATTATTTCATAGCGCCCTATTTCTGTGACTCAGAATACAAGTATAAATCTTTCATTTTTTAAAGTGAATAGTCTGCTTTGAGAACCAATGCTTTAAACAGCAACTAGAAATGAAAAATAGAATCTAAGTACACAGATGATGTATTTAGTGATTTTATGTAGCAAATCTGAGCTCATTTGTATTTTACTGGCCCAGTGCACGAGCCATTAACTGCAAATGCAATTCAAACATACGTCACACCTCTGGTCATTCTGATTTGAAAGGTTTACAGTGGTGTCAAAATGGTAATAAAACCTCTTAAGCATAGTAAAATTGCCTCTCCATTAATTTTTTCATGTCTGCTAAGAAGACATGGGGTTAATATCTGATATATATCAGCCATTAATAGATATTTCATTGTGCATGCTCAAACGCACCTTATTTTTTTCATTTACATTACCTTTGCTGTCATCTGATGTGAAATAATGGTGAAATTTTGCAGGCAAAAAGGTCCATTATCTATTGTCAACAGTGTAGGGATGTATGAAGCACAGCTCACACAGAAGTCATTTTCAAACCAAGCAGCTTTCTGCTGGCCTTTGGGGCAAATTTGAAATCTGCATGGGGAAATCTTTTGCAGGACTGCATGATTGCATAGAATCCTATTAAAATGACTGGATTTCACAGAACAACAGTAAATGTGGCTGCACCTTAAAATCAGTGCAGACATGATTTGAACATGGCTGTTTCTGTGACAGAGTTCTGTATTTACTTCAGCTCCTTTGGCCAGGCATGGCTTTAGGTGTAACCTCACTTAGCCACAGGATTATGTCCGTAAGCCTTTTAGAGGTATAAGCCTGTGATTGGTCAACTTTGACCAAATGACTTGCTTTACTGTCTTGTGAACATAGCTAGTCTCTTTTCCCCAAGAACAAATTCTCCTATCAGATGTGTATGGTCCATTCTGCCTCTAGACCAGCTTCAGCTTTCAAGATGCATCTTCTTCATTCTAAGGTGTAAATGTGAGATATTGAATCTCTGGAAGACAGGCTCTTTCAGGCAAAGGTAAGAGACATGGGAGAGCAGAGTGCTCTTCTTATATTCAGGGGTCTTGTGATCTCATGATCCCATCATCTGGAGCTTAGATAGAAAACGTCTCGGTTACGTATGGTAACCCTCGTTCCCTGAAGGAGGGAACGGAGACGTCACGTCCCGTCGCCACAGCTCCTGTACCACCGCTGAGCGGCCGGGTCACCGGCTCGGCTCCTCAGCGAAAACCTGAATATGCGCTGCATCTGCTGCCTACTTATACTCACGCTGTGATCAGCAGCAGCTGGATGCAATAATCGCATGCCAATGTGCATTGGCTCGTTTAGTTTACACTCGAAGTAGATTGGTCCCTCTAAGCGAGATCCCAATTTCGTCGGTCATCCGACGTGACGTCGAGAGTGACCGACTGAAAGGGAACGTCTCGGTTACGTATGGTAACCCTCGTTCCCTGAAGGAGGGAACGGAGACGTCACGTCCCGTCGCCACAGCTCCTGTACCACCGCTGAGCGGCCGGGTCACCGGCTCGGCTCCTCAGCGAAAACCTGAATATGCGCTGCATCTGCTGCCTACTTATACTCACGCTGTGATCAGCAGCAGCTGGATGCAATAATCGCATGCCAATGTGCATTGGCTCGTTTAGTTTACACTCGAAGTAGATTGGTCCCTCTAAGCGAGATCCCAATTTCGTCGGTCATCCGACGTGACGTCGAGAGTGACCGACTGAAAGGGAACGTCTCGGTTACGTATGGTAACCCTCGTTCCCTGAAGGAGGGAACGGAGACGTCACGTCCCGTCGCCACAGCTCCTGTACCACCGCTGAGCGGCCGGGTCACCGGCTCGGCTCCTCAGCGAAAACCTGAATATGCGCTGCATCTGCTGCCTACTTATACTCACGCTGTGATCAGCAGCAGCTGGATGCAATAATCGCATGCCAATGTGCATTGGCTCGTTTAGTTTACACTCGAAGTAGATTGGTCCCTCTAAGCGAGATCCCAATTTCGTCGGTCATCCGACGTGACGTCGAGAGTGACCGACTGAAAGGGAACGTCTCGGTTACGTATGGTAACCCTCGTTCCCTGAAGGAGGGAACGGAGACGTCACGTCCCGTCGCCACAGCTCCTGTACCACCGCTGAGCGGCCGGGTCACCGGCTCGGCTCCTCAGCGAAAACCTGAATATGCGCTGCATCTGCTGCCTACTTATACTCACGCTGTGATCAGCAGCAGCTGGATGCAATAATCGCATGCCAATGTGCATTGGCTCGTTTAGTTTACACTCGAAGTAGATTGGTCCCTCTAAGCGAGATCCCAATTTCGTCGGTCATCCGACGTGACGTCGAGAGTGACCGACTGAAAGGGAACGTCTCGGTTACGTATGGTAACCCTCGTTCCCTGAAGGAGGGAACGGAGACGTCACGTCCCGTCGCCACAGCTCCTGTACCACCGCTGAGCGGCCGGGTCACCGGCTCGGCTCCTCAGCGAAAACCTGAATATGCGCTGCATCTGCTGCCTACTTATACTCACGCTGTGATCAGCAGCAGCTGGATGCAATAATCGCATGCCAATGTGCATTGGCTCGTTTAGTTTACACTCGAAGTAGATTGGTCCCTCTAAGCGAGATCCCAATTTCGTCGGTCATCCGACGTGACGTCGAGAGTGACCGACTGAAAGGGAACGTCTCGGTTACGTATGGTAACCCTCGTTCCCTGAAGGAGGGAACGGAGACGTCACGTCCCGTCGCCACAGCTCCTGTACCACCGCTGAGCGGCCGGGTCACCGGCTCGGCTCCTCAGCGAAAACCTGAATATGCGCTGCATCTGCTGCCTACTTATACTCACGCTGTGATCAGCAGCAGCTGGATGCAATAATCGCATGCCAATGTGCATTGGCTCGTTTAGTTTACACTCGAAGTAGATTGGTCCCTCTAAGCGAGATCCCAATTTCGTCGGTCATCCGACGTGACGTCGAGAGTGACCGACTGAAAGGGAACGTCTCGGTTACGTATGGTAACCCTCGTTCCCTGAAGGAGGGAACGGAGACGTCACGTCCCGTCGCCACAGCTCCTGTACCACCGCTGAGCGGCCGGGTCACCGGCTCGGCTCCTCAGCGAAAACCTGAATATGCGCTGCATCTGCTGCCTACTTATACTCACGCTGTGATCAGCAGCAGCTGGATGCAATAATCGCATGCCAATGTGCATTGGCTCGTTTAGTTTACACTCGAAGTAGATTGGTCCCTCTAAGCGAGATCCCAATTTCGTCGGTCATCCGACGTGACGTCGAGAGTGACCGACTGAAAGGGAACGTCTCGGTTACGTATGGTAACCCTCGTTCCCTGAAGGAGGGAACGGAGACGTCACGTCCCGTCGCCACAGCTCCTGTACCACCGCTGAGCGGCCGGGTCACCGGCTCGGCTCCTCAGCGAAAACCTGAATATGCGCTGCATCTGCTGCCTACTTATACTCACGCTGTGATCAGCAGCAGCTGGATGCAATAATCGCATGCCAATGTGCATTGGCTCGTTTAGTTTACACTCGAAGTAGATTGGTCCCTCTAAGCGAGATCCCAATTTCGTCGGTCATCCGACGTGACGTCGAGAGTGACCGACTGAAAGGGAACGTCTCGGTTACGTATGGTAACCCTCGTTCCCTGAAGGAGGGAACGGAGACGTCACGTCCCGTCGCCACAGCTCCTGTACCACCGCTGAGCGGCCGGGTCACCGGCTCGGCTCCTCAGCGAAAACCTGAATATGCGCTGCATCTGCTGCCTACTTATACTCACGCTGTGATCAGCAGCAGCTGGATGCAATAATCGCATGCCAATGTGCATTGGCTCGTTTAGTTTACACTCGAAGTAGATTGGTCCCTCTAAGCGAGATCCCAATTTCGTCGGTCATCCGACGTGACGTCGAGAGTGACCGACTGAAAGGGAACGTCTCGGTTACGTATGGTAACCCTCGTTCCCTGAAGGAGGGAACGGAGACGTCACGTCCCGTCGCCACAGCTCCTGTACCACCGCTGAGCGGCCGGGTCACCGGCTCGGCTCCTCAGCGAAAACCTGAATATGCGCTGCATCTGCTGCCTACTTATACTCACGCTGTGATCAGCAGCAGCTGGATGCAATAATCGCATGCCAATGTGCATTGGCTCGTTTAGTTTACACTCGAAGTAGATTGGTCCCTCTAAGCGAGATCCCAATTTCGTCGGTCATCCGACGTGACGTCGAGAGTGACCGACTGAAAGGGAACGTCTCGGTTACGTATGGTAACCCTCGTTCCCTGAAGGAGGGAACGGAGACGTCACGTCCCGTCGCCACAGCTCCTGTACCACCGCTGAGCGGCCGGGTCACCGGCTCGGCTCCTCAGCGAAAACCTGAATATGCGCTGCATCTGCTGCCTACTTATACTCACGCTGTGATCAGCAGCAGCTGGATGCAATAATCGCATGCCAATGTGCATTGGCTCGTTTAGTTTACACTCGAAGTAGATTGGTCCCTCTAAGCGAGATCCCAATTTCGTCGGTCATCCGACGTGACGTCGAGAGTGACCGACTGAAAGGGAACGTCTCGGTTACGTATGGTAACCCTCGTTCCCTGAAGGAGGGAACGGAGACGTCACGTCCCGTCGCCACAGCTCCTGTACCACCGCTGAGCGGCCGGGTCACCGGCTCGGCTCCTCAGCGAAAACCTGAATATGCGCTGCATCTGCTGCCTACTTATACTCACGCTGTGATCAGCAGCAGCTGGATGCAATAATCGCATGCCAATGTGCATTGGCTCGTTTAGTTTACACTCGAAGTAGATTGGTCCCTCTAAGCGAGATCCCAATTTCGTCGGTCATCCGACGTGACGTCGAGAGTGACCGACTGAAAGGGAATGATAGCATTGCTGAGATTATCTGCTCATATGTGATGAGACAAAAACAGCTCGTTATGTTCTGTTTTGGTTTGTTGTGGGCTTTTTTTGTTAGGCTTAAATGTCGGATTGATTGATTTTTCTTTATATCTGCTTTTTGAATTGTGGTGTTCAACCAGAAGAGTTTTACTGAAGAAGGACAAGTTACTATCTTGCTTGATCACTTGCTTGAACTTTTTCCTCAGCAAACTCGAAGCCACATTGTCTTAAATTACTAATAATAATATAAGCAAGCAACGGCAGAAGAGTATTTGGTAATTTAATGAAATATTATTTCTAATATTATTTCTAAAATATTTCTACACCAAGCCCCGAAGGAACAAATCACACACATTTGCAGAGAAAAGTTACTCCATAATCTTTGAGTCTGTCACCTTTTTTCCATTCTTGTAAAAGAGTTGAGCCAAATCATTGAGTAGGTGAGGTTCTGCTGATCAAAATTGAATTGTTTAGGATCAGCTAATGGGACGCCGCCTTAAGGCCCCTATATACTTCAAAGAAAGTTATTTTTCGTTCTTTGTTTGAGGGCAAAAAGAAGTTCGTAAAGGCTAAGCGACGGTATACTGTTTTCGAACATTCCGACACCCCCGCGCTGCTGGAGGCAGGGTTGTAAACATGTGTCACGCCGCCCGCGTGTACCCCCTAAACACAACAACGTTGGCGGCTGTGAGAGAAGAGCAGCTTTGTAAACATCTGGCAGTAGCATTGATCTATTCAATGACAAAGAAAAAGAACAAGAACAAGCGACAGATGATATGTGCTTCCACTTAACGAAAAAATTACAAAAATTAAAAATGTATTCAGCAAATGTGGAGCACAGATGAGGAAGTGCATTTTTCATACTTCAGAATGTGCGCCGCGTGGTTTGACGATCTCTTGAGAAGGATATCGCCATATGGGAAACATGCAAAAACGCACAGGACACGGATTACCACTATGGAGAGACTGGCCTTGACACTCTGAGTAGCCTACTAGCTTGTGGGGCCACGCAACAAAGTGTGGCTGAAACATTCAAGATTGGACCGTGCACAAGCCCGTAAGATAGTCGCTGAGATGTGTTCTCCTGTCTGGTCTCCGTTGAATGTGAAACGATCCGGGGGGGAAAT